TCCACTGGTGGAAACCAGCAAGAAAACTTCCGACATCATGAGCTTCTAGAGCCTTCTGCCATCTCTTTCCCTTTCCCTTCCTGGAAAAGAAGCCAGCAGCTGAGTAGGAGGCAAGATATGACTATGATTATTATTATGATTATGATTCAGTGGTGACCACCAGTTGGGGCCAGGGATGCAGGGGGCCACTTTCCGCTGAGATTCCATTAAGAGGCTTGAGCTGTTCATTGCTCCGGCTGGTGCTGCAGTGCTGGTCATCCCCGTGGCAGCTCTGGGGAGAGGGGCCATGAGGTGAATGCAAGGCGAGTGCCCTAACCCTGCCAGTGACTACCACTTTTTTGTTTGGGGGTCACATCCAGCAGTGCTCAGGATTTACTCCTGGCTCTGTGCTCAGGGTTCACTCCTGGCAGGCTTGGGGGACCATTTGGGGTGCTGGGATGGAAACCAGCATCAGATGCATGCAAGGTAAAAGCCTTACCTGCTGTACTCCTGCTTGGGCCCCTAAAGAAAACATTTCATTTAAAAGGCAGAGGCGAGGATGGTGAGACATGCAGGAAGTAAGGTGTTTGCCTTACGTGCGACCAGCTTTTTTTTTTTTTTTTTTTTTTTTTTTTTTTTTTTTAGTTTTGGGTCACACCTGGTGATGCTCAGGGCTTACTCCTGGCTCATGCGTTCAGGAATTACTCCTGGCAGTGCTCAGGGGACCATATGGGATGCTGGGCATCGAACTTGGGTCGGCCGCGTGCAAGGCAAACACCCTACCCGCTGTGCTATCACTCCAGCCCCAGCGACCAGCTGTCTTGATCCCTGGCCCCACAGGTCATCTCCCATGCACTGCTAGGGGCGATCCCTGAGCACAGCGCCAGAAGTTGCCCCTCAGCACCAACACCAGCTCCTTCCTCTGCCACATCCCACCCAAAGAAAGCAATGCTGGAGGGGGCAAATGAAGGCAGTGAGTTGAGATGGTGTTTATTTGAGGGAAAGAGAAGAGGGCTCCAAAGGGAAACACGAAAGCAGCCTTTGTTTCTGTCTCTTACAGGCTCAGACTTCCTGCCTGTCCTCTAGCCTCCCACTATCCTCCCCAAATACCTGGGGTCTGAGGTCCTGGCCAGATTTAGCCTGGTCTGGGATTGCCATGGTACCTATATATTGTTTGTTGTGTTGGTCTAATAATGATCGATTTAGGAGCTAGGTCTCAGCTGTCACCTGGCCCAAGCTTGCTTCCCTGGGTTCTTGTAAAACCCTGGCAATGCATCTGAACTCCGAGACGTCAGGGTAATGCTAGGCTGGAGTCTCCGCTGTGGGGCCGCGGGTTATCCTTATCCGCCCTCCAAGCTTTTATGACCTGGCATACATCTATAGACCATTTGCTAGCTACCTCCCTGACCTAATCTTGCTGCCCTGCCCATGTCCTGTGTAGGAAGGAGAGTCCTTCCCAGAAGAGAGAGGAATCTGCCCACGAGGTTGGTTGTGCCACACACAGGGAGGAGGAAGCAGAGGAGCTGGTGAGTCAGAGCGGCAGGAGCCGGCGGGCAGCGCCCCTGAAAGTGGCAGCAGCTCCAGCCCCCAGGTAAGGAGGTGACTTCTCGGTGTCACTCTAAAGCAGGGTGGCTGGAGCAGAGGACCAGAGAGAGGCTGGGGTGGGGGGAGGCAGCAATGCTAGGGGTTAAGGGTCACCCCTGACAGCCAGAATCACCTGGAGTATTTTCCCAGTAAAGACCCAGCCAGAGACTCACCCATCATTCCCACCCAGCCCTGCTCCCATAAGGACGCCCAATGGGTCAGCGGATCTGAGTCTGTCCCTCATGGTCCGACTCGTGGGAACTCTGGTTTCCGGCTCAAGTCTCTGCTTCCCGCAGCTTCTCGGCCCGGGGTTCCAGGGGAGGCTGGGCACCAGAAGCTTCCTGTAGCCCAGGGGGAGGTTGAAATCATTGAAAACTCTTCATCCTGGGGCCAGAAGCCCAGGTTCTGAGCCCGCAGGCCAGTTCCACTGCTGGGCCCACGGATGAAGTTTCTGTTCACTTATGGGGCACTGGGGACTGCTAACAATGACTGTCACCATTGTGGCATGCCAGTCACATGCACAGTAAGGTGAACTTACCAGGGATGCCATTTCTCCAAGTGTCCCTTCCCGATGGTTAATGACATGCATCTAATTAATGAGACCTTAGCATATTAACTAGGCTGGAAGCACTCTGGGGCTAATTTGCATGTCTATAGGCAAGTCTGGAACTACCCAGGGGAACTGAAATTCTTTTATGTGTGTTTCATCTAAATGGTATCTTTTTCTTTCTTTCTTCTTTCTTTTTCTTTCTTTCTTCTTTCTTTTTCTTTCTTTTTTTTTGGGGGGGGGGCTTTTTGGCTTCTTGGGTCTCACCTGGTGATGCTCAGGGGTTACTCCTGGCTCTGCAGTCAGGAATTACTCCTGGCGGTGCTTAGGAGACCCATATGGGATGCAGGGTCAAACCCTGGTCAGCCACATGCAATGCAAGCACCCTAACTGCTATACTATTGCTCCAGCCCCCATATTAATGGTATCTTGCCCCACCTCCCTCCCCCCCACACCCAGGAGGTCACCTCAGACAGCAGAAACCGAAAGCATTCTACCAGTGTCTCCTCGCCTAGCGTCCCTCCACAACTGTTTCTGGTCAGCCGCGTTCCCTGCAGCTATGGGCGGACCTGGTGTGGAGACTGTGCTTTCCCTGGGGGCACCCTCTGCCCTGGAGCTCCTGTCCACCCTCCGCTCCTGGAGCTCCCATCCCTGGAGTTCCTGTCCTCTCCCCAGCCCTGGTCTGTCCTCCCCCTCTGCTGAGAATTCCAGGCTGTCTTTCTATAACACCCCCAAATTGGGAGGAGGGCAGTGAGGTCATGCAGCATGTCAAAGCAAACCTCACCCTCTCCTTTTGGCTGTGAGTGTTGGTTCTGCATTCAGTTCGGCGGGGTGCCTACATTTTAGTAGCCCAGGCTGAAGAATCTCACGTGTGTTTAAGGAAAGGATCTTCAGGGTTGGAGAGAAGGCTGATAAGCCGAGGGCCTGCTCTGTAAGCAGGAGGTGCGGGTTCAATCCCAGGCACCTCTAGATTGACCCCAAGCCCTGAGCCAGTCAGTAGAGCCCTCTGAGCATTGCTGGATGTGGCCCCCAACTGACCACAAAGAACATGCACCACATTTCTCAGTAGGCATCACTGTTCTGTTTTGTTTGGGGAATGTGATTAGGCCACTGTGCTGAGGAGGTCATCTACAGTGCCAGGCAGACTGGGATTGGCTGCCTTAACACCGGTTCTGTCCCTCTGGCCCAGGGTCTCGTTATTAACTACTCTCTAGGGACAACTGCACCTCATCTCAGGCTCAATTGTCTGCCCAATCATCCAAAAAATGTTTGATGATTCATCTGTTTTGGGTACCTACAAGCAAAATAAGCCAAAAATGTTGCCCTTAAGAGCTGAGGCCTGACAGGTCAGAGATAACAGAAGTTAGCCTGCTTGCAACTCCCTTACTGGGTTTGAATCTCTGGTACACCACACGGTCCCCAGAGCACTGTCATGGGTAACTCCTGAGCACAGCTGGGTATAACCAGACTTTCCCTTCTGAAAGAAGGTGCAGCAGCCCAGTGGGAGAGATCTCTACAGCCCGGGGAGAGGTGAGTATGAATGGAAAGTCTGGGGGAAACCAAATCCTAGGAGGGTGATTCAGGAGAAAATCAGGACATCCGAAGGGGAGAGAAATATGCCGAGTGTGCCTTGGGGCTTATAAGAACAAGACGAGCTGGCCTGAGCTGAATGTAAAGCCTGAGACTGATCGTGTGGGAAGGTGACCTCAGGAGACCTGGGGACAGGCGTGAGGGTTTCTGTTTGCCCCCGAGTGTTGAAAAGTTCATGCCAGATCAGATCATAAGCAGGGGAATGGTGGGTGTGTATGATGCTCAGGACGATGGGAAAGCTGAGACAGAGGCTCAAATGCCAGGCAGGAACTGGCACCCAGGAAGCCAGGATTTGAGCACCAATTGAATAGCCAGAAAAGAACATTCAGGAAAGTTCGCTAAGTTCTAAAACAGTTAAGTCTTAGGCTTTTCAGTACTCAGGGGATCATGAGATGTCATCCATAATGCAAAGCATGTGCCCCAGCCTGCTGAACCATCGCCCTGGCCCAATATCTCCCTTCTCTTTCTCCCTTCTCTTCTCTCACTGCCAGGCTTCTCCCAGGACTCAGGAGCACCCACCTCATCACCGGGTACGGTTTGCAGAGATAATCTTTGCTAACACACACCTTTAGCCTGTCCCTTACTTGGTGTCTAGATCCAGGTGACAGGATATGGTCCGTTTGACCAAGGCACTCTTTTCTCCTGGCCATTGAGAGTCCTACCAGAAAGAAAGCTGAAAAAGGAGGTCTGGGGGTGAGGCTAGAAATATAATACAGCAGGGAGGGCACTTGCCTTACATACGGTCAACTTTTGTTCAACCCCCAGCATCCCATATGGCCCCCTGAGGACTGCCAAGAATAATTCCTGAGTGCAGAGCCAGGAGTAATTCCTGAGCATCATTGGGTGTGACCGAAAAACAAAAACAGGAAACCAACAATGGAACAGAGATGCCGGCAGTAGAAGCTCTTTGGGGAAGGGTTGGCGTGGAGTGGCCTTGGATCAACGCCTCCGCGGTCAGCTTGTGTTCGGCAGCCCTAGCCTGGCTCTGGCTGCTGGTGGCCATTGCCCCTGTCACTCATGTGAAGACTTGCATGTCATCTGGGGGCCCAGCAGAGCCCTGCCCAGGAACTGACATACGGGGTTGCTCCAGGGGCCAGGAGGAAAGAGGTCACGCATCTTGAAGAAATCCAAGGCATCACCACACTGAGTGCGGGCAGGGGACAGGGGCGGACTCAGGGCTGGGCCTTCTCTGGGGGCTGTTTGGGAACATTTTCTTTGGGAGAAGGCCAACAGGCAGGTCATGGGAGAGCCACCTAATGCCGCTGTCGTTGCTCCCATCAGGTGCTGGAGCTCTGGCAGGATGGCGGTCCCCAGAAGGGTGAAGCTCCTGCTCTTCCTGCTCGGCCCGCTGGCCCTGGGCATCCGCCTGCTGGTCCGCTACACCCACGGCTCCCACTCGCAGCCGGCGGGCACCAGGCCGCAGCCCACGCACGTGCTGGTGCTGTCGTCGTGGCGCTCGGGCTCCACGCTGGTGGGCCAGCTCTTTGGGCAGCACCCCGACGTCTTCTACCTGATGGAGCCCGTGTGGCACGTGTGGATGACCTTCCCCGGGAGCAGCGCCCACCGCCTGCAGATGGCCACGCGGGACCTGGTGCGGGCCGTCTTCCTCTGCGACATGAGCGTCTTCGAGGCCTACGTGGAGGCCGGGCTGGCCAACGGCTCGGGGCTCTTCCTGTGGGAGAAGAGCCCGGCGCTGTGCTCCCCGCCCGCCTGCAGCCTCTTCTCCCGGGACCAGATCATCCTCCCGAGCCTCTGCAAGCGCGTGTGCCAGCCGCGGCCCCCGCGCGTCGTGGCCGAGGCCTGCAGCGCCTACAGCCACGTGGTGGTCAAGGAGGTGCGCGTGCTCGGCCTGCGGGCGCTCGCCCCGCTGCTGCGGGACCCGGCGCTCAACCTGCACATCCTGCACCTGGTGCGCGACCCCCGCGCCGTCTTCCACTCCCGGGCCCTCCTGAGCGGGGAGCTGGAGAACGACGACCGCTTGGTCCTGGGGGCGCGGTGGCAGGCGGCGGCCCCGGGGGAGCGGCCCTACTCGGTGCTGCGCGCTGTCTGCCAGGGCCACCTGGATGTGTTCCGCGCCGCGCAGGCCTGGCCGCCCACCCTAAGGCGCCGCTACCTGCTGGCGCGCTATGAGGACCTGGTGAGGGAACCGCTGGCCCAGACGGCCCGCATGTACGCGTTTGCCGGGCTGGAGTTCTTGCCACGACTGCAGAGCTGGGTGTATAACATCACACGAGGCCGGGGCTTGGGGAGCGACCCCTTCAATGTGGATGCCAGGAACGCCCTGAGGGTCTCCCAGGCCTGGCGCGGGGCCTTGCCCTACGAAAAAGTGGCTCGGATTCAGAACGTCTGCCTGCAGGCCATGGACACGCTGGGCTACCGGCTGGTCGCCTCGGAGCAGGAGCAGAGGAACCTGTCTCTGGACCTCCTGGCCCCAGGCCCCCCTCCCAGCCAGACCACCAGAGGCTGAGGCATCCGCCCTCTCGGGGGGCCCCAGCCTCAGTCCTGCTCACTGAAGGTTCCAGAAGCTTCTCGCATCTTGACAGGTGTTCAATGAGCGGGAATTGTGCAGACGGCTGTCCAAACCAAGAAGCCTTCAGGTCTCTGCTCCTCTCCAGACCCGAGGTCCGTGAGCGTGGCACGGCCCAGCTGAGAAGCCAGAGCAGTGTCCTGGGCTCCGATAGGCACGTCCCTCGAAGAGGACGGGCTCCTGTTTGCCCCTCAGAATCTAGGAGCAGCTGGAAATGTGCCTGGCCGCATGTCCCTGTCAGGAAGCAGGACAACGGGAAACGTGGGGAAATGGCTCTTGTGCTGAAGGGCCGGCCTACAGGGCACTGGGTGGGGGCCAGAGGAGGAGGGGGGGGAGGGCCGGCCGCTTAGAGGGGATGGAGCTTGCCCACCGCAGCTGTGCCCTATCTCCACCTCACGGTGCAAGCTTTCTGCTGGGTCCGGTTAGCTTCTTTGTCATGTTTTCCTCTTTACCGCAGAGAATTTGACCTAGCAAGCTACGGTCTATTTACACGAACATTCTGGAAGGGTTCCTTTCATTGGACTGCCACTTCTCTGATTCTAACTTAAGAACATGATCGTTTTTCTCAGTCGGCTTTGGATATTCTGCTGTTCTCCGTCACTGGGGGGTGGGGGGGTGGGGGATGCTGTGACAATGAGTGGTGTCCAGGGCTCATCCAAGTCTAATTGGTCAGTACTGAGTCGTAGATTGCCCTGTTTGAAATGAAAAGAGCATGGAGAGGTGGTGCAGGTGTCAGGGAGCTTGCCTGGCCCCCAGCCAGCCCCGGTTTCATCCCCAGCACTACAAAAGGTCCTGGAGCACTGCCAGGAGGGATTCTTGAGTGGAGAGCTCTGAGAACTGCCAGGTACCGCTTACTACAAACAAAAAAATAAGGAGAATAGAGGGAGGGTCTGGGGAGGTAGCAAAGAAGGCAAAGCACTTGCTTCGCATGCAGCTGAACCTGGTTTAAGAGCCTGGCACTGCATATTGTTCTCTGGACACCTCCAGGGGTCACTCCTGAGCACAGAATCAGGAATAGCCCTTGATCACTGCCACGGGTGGTCCACACCCCACCACCACTCCCACCACCAATGGGGGTAGAAAAGAGCTGACCTGCAGCTGAAGGTATGAGCTACCCCCAGGAATCGATTCTGGGCACCCCACACACAAAGAGCGTCTCACACGCTCAGGCGCAGGGAGGGAGGGCACAGAAAATGGCCTGGGGGCCCCTGTGGCAGGGTTGAGCTCACAGGGCCAGCCAGAGCCCCTGCCACTTGGTCTTGATGTCCGTGGGCCCCTCTAGGTGACCTGTGTAAAGCAGGGAGGAGAAAGACGGTCACTTTTTCCCCATCTGCCCCCAGCACCCGGGACCCACTGGGAAGACTAGGACCAGTAAAGTCTGCGATGAGCCCCTGCTTGGCATGGGCCTGAGCCCCGCCAGTCCCACTAGGTGGCCGTCAGGCCACACCTGAAGTCTGCTTGGTCTGCCAGGCACAGGAGTTGATCCCACCACCTGATTTTTCGGGGAGCCACAGACTCAGGCTGGAGCAAGGATTTGCTCTTTGCAGGAAAGGAGAAACCAGTCCCAAGCCTTACCCAGCGTTTTTGGAGTTCTTATCTCGCCTCACAGAAAAGAATTTCAGGAGTAGACAAGCAGTGAAGTAAAACACATTTTATTTGGAGGTTTGGAAAGGGAGGAGAAAGGGACAGTGCGGGCTTCCCCAAAGGTGAAGAAGCCTTGAAATGGCCTTTAAGGCAGGTTTTTATGTGCATATTCTTAAGGACGCCTAGTCTGCAGTTTTTCTGGGGAGGTGGGGGTTGGTCCGGTGTCAAAGGAACAGCTTTGCAGTTCCTGGTGAATCTCTTAATTGGTCTCTGTTTCTTCTGCTGTCATCCCTGTAGGGGTTCAGCCTCCGTAGGGTCTGTCACAGACTGGTGGACTGGCGCCGATTAGTTCTCCATGAGGTCAGGGCTGTTGCTTCCCAGGAGATTTACTGCCATCGCCTTGGGAAGGGCCCTTCCCAATCTGCCTGCCTGCCTACATCAGACTGATTTCTTGGCCCACAGCTGAACCTTTGGATGCTTTCTTTGGTTTTTGCTGGAATGTTCACATGCTGCCATCTTTCCTGCTAACCTCCCCCCAGAGCAAAGAATTTTAAACTCCTTTGGGTATGGGTCACAGCGATAGTACAGTGGTTGGGGTGCTTGCCTTGCATGCAGCCAACCTGAGTTTAATCCCTGAAACCCCATATAGTCTCCGGAGCTGCGTCAGGAGTGATTTCTGAGTACAGCACCAGGAGTAAGCTCTGAGCACTGCTGGGTGTGGTCCACCACCACAGGGGGGGAAAAAATCCTCTGGATGCAAACATCTCCCACTGCTCCAAACACAGGATAAAACAGATAAAAACAATCTGAAAGCATCCAGGATCTGACAAATACCTCAGAAATGTTTTTCAGGCAGGGGAGAGAGATAGCTCAAAGGGCTGGGCAAGGCCCTGAGTTTGATCCCTGGCACCCCATGACCGCATGACATCCCTACACTGCAGCGTGCTGGGAGTGGCCCCGTGATTCTAAGCAGCTGCTGGGTGTGACTCTCTCAGGTGGCTCAGCACAGCTGCCTAAGGCAGTATCACACCCTGCTGAGCGCTAAACTGTCAGAGCCACATGGCAGAGCTGGGAATTATGGGAACGAGTCCCATAACACTGCCAGGGCACTCCCCCCACCCCACACCCCCGAAAAACCCAGAAATGGTGTCTCTCCAATGCCAGAGAAAGCTAAAATTGTGAAGCCAAGTAATGGTTCATTCAGAAAAAAAGAAAAGATACAGGGGAAATTCCTAGCATGTTTAGATGCACGTGGAATAATCTGAATTCTAGGAACCCCCTCTAAGGTTAGGTTCTTAGGGAGAAGAAAAGGTGCACCAGAAGGAGGGGCATGAGGAGCAAAGATGGCAATGCCCGCGAGCACACGTTGCTTCCATCCCAGAAAAATCACAAGAACGAGAGCTTTATCGGCGAAGAATCCCTGTCAGCTGGGATGATTGTCCATCAGCTGGCGATGGGGGCAGCTTCAAAGAGAGAGTGGAGCGGGGGGGGGGGGGGTCAAAGGGGTAGAACGGTGTTGCACACAGCTAGTCTCCACTCATTCCAAATGGTCCCCAAGCACAACAGGAATGACCCCTGAGCACCGCTGGGTACAGCCCAAAAACCAAGATAAAAAGAAAAGGCACAGGGGTCTGGTTTTAGGCCCTGCCAAGACTGAGCAGTGGAACGGTTTATGCATATTATAGTTTCCTGGGAAACTCATGTGAGCCTGAGCGATCGAGGAACAGATGAAGGACGTACCTCACATGTGCAAAAATAAATGGCAGAGAAATAGAGGAACGATGGGGGCTTGTGTGTATTTGAGGTGGTCATGAAGAGACCGTAACTACTTAGGGATAACTGCTGAGGGTCGCGGGCAGAAGGGCGTATGGCAGAGTTTCTCAGCAAAGACCATATGCCTCAAGGGATAGCATAGGTGAAAATCAAGTACATGGGGAAACCACAGCTCCAAAGTAGGGGGCAAACTAATAGAATGGGGGGGCAGAAGGAAAGGGAAGGGAAGAGACAGGACTAGACAGGAAGGGAAGGGAAGGGAAGGGAAGGGAAGGGAAGGGAAGGGAAAAGGAAAGGAAAGTCAGAAGGGAGGCACAGCCAGAAACACTGGCATATGGAAACACATATAAATATTTTTTATTTGTTTTTGTGGTTTGGGGCCACACCTGGAGGTGCTCAGGTCTTATCCCTGACTGCACTCAGGGATCACTCCTGACAGGCTTGGTGAACCCTCTGGGGTGCTGGGGATGGAGCCCAGGTCCAAGGCAAGTGCCCTTCCCTCTGTACTATTGCTCCAGAACCAGAAACCCGTTTTTCCATCTCCATCATTATATATTCCTTTTGAGTGCTGGAAGAAAATGAAAGCGCAGGTTTTAGTGTGAGCTCAGGGAAACCAAGAGTAAACTGGAAGGAGGCATTTTGACATTTACGTTCCATACAGGAATCAGATGGGCTGAGTCTGGCTGGGTGGAGACCCAAATTTCCCATGGAGATAAGGGAACCTCCCTTGGTGAGGCATCTCCCGTCTCTGAAGGGCTTATTTACTCCTCCCCTCACAACCTTGCAAGGGAACTGCCCGGCCCCTCCTCTGGGTTACAGGGAGGGAGGTGTGGGCACTATGCCAAGGGGATCCACTGGGACAACGCCCCAAGGAGAAGCCCTAGATTCCGATCATTCTCTGAGTCCACTGCCCGCTCAGGCTCACTCCACCCCCCAACCCCTGCGCGCGCGCGCACACACACACACACACACACACACACACACACACACACACACACACACAGAGTGAATGGTGGAGCTAGACAAGTTCAAGGACTTAGGACGGCCAAAAAGTTCATGGCCAGGGATTTCAGCCAGTGCCCTGGAGAGTGCTTCTTGGTAGGAAAGCAGGCATCGGACCCCCAATGCTTCCTTTTTGTGTTTTTTGTTTGTTTTGTTTTGTTTGGGGCACACACCTGGTGGCGTTGAGGTCTTACCCCTCCCTTTGCTCAGGGATCTCTCCTGGCACGGCTTAGGGGACCATCTGTGGTGCTGGGGTCAGCTGTGTGCAAAACCATGAGATAGAGAAATTCCCCTCGAGGGGAAAAAAATAAACACAACGGAGGCACAAACTTAGTATACTTTATTTTTTAAAAAAGAAAAAACAATAATTTATGCCTTTGGCAAAATAAAGGATCTTCTCAATATAAATGTTTCTTAGAAAACATATGAAAAGCTAATATAATATATATCAATAAATCAACATCAACATCACAGCCAAAGCAACAATGATTCTTAGAACAATGACAAGGGAAGACACGTTTGGTCCTCACAGCGGTTTAGCTCGGAGGGGAGTCTGCTGACACCCCCTAATATTAAGAAAACCTAATACACGCATATCTAAATGTAGAAAGTTGGTCAATTCAAGCATATTTATTTGCATCACCAAGTAATTGTGTACAAGGACAATCCATAAAAATATTCTTCTAAGGGACCTCTCAAACTTCCTGAAGAGTTTGGTAAGCATATACGCGGGCCAATCTATGTGTCCCTAACTTCTTTTATGTCACTGTTGCTTAAAGCGGGGGGAAGCTGAAAGGGGGCTTTGTGGAACGAGGGGAGCTCGCTGTGGAGAGGCCAGACCTCAGCTGGGACTCTGGAGTTGGCCACAGACGCGTGTTCTTGGCTGAGCAGATGTTGATGACCAGTGACTGTTTAGGCAGACCCAACTTCTGTCAATCTTTTGTGTCTGTTGTCCTGAAGGGTTTCCTGTCCTTTTCTCGTCTTAGGGGGAAGGGATTGGTTTGGGGGACACACCCAGTGGTTCTCATCACAGGCTACTCCCAGCTCTGTGCTCAGGAGTCAGTCCCAGCCTTGCCCAGAGGACCACGAAGCGCTGGAGATCGCACCCAGACTTCCAGCTGCACTCAGCCCTTTGGGCGTTGCTGAGGCCTTGGGCTATGAACGCTCTGGTAAACTTCACTCCTTTCCAGTAAACTCTGACCTCGAGGTGGGTGGGGGGAGGGGGGTCACCGAGGACGGGTGCCAGGCCTTCCAGCAGTGGGCGGAGGAGAAGCGGGTTCAGAGCGTGGCTGTGAGTGTGGCTGGGGGTGAGGGGGATGCAGGAGTAATTCCGAGCCTTTGGCACAGTGTTTGAGGGGACCCTGTCCTATCTGGGTGCCTGGTTCCCTGAGAAGCGGCCCCTTCCCCGCCCCGCCTGCAGGGGACACATCCGGGGGACAAGGTGCTACTTGTCGCAGTCCTCATGACCACCCTCTGCACCCTGGTAGTGCTGCTCGCAGAACTGCCGGATGCGGTCACAGGCCTCCAGCATCATCACTTCAGGGACTGTGATGACCACCCGAAAGAAGTTGGGGTACTCGAAGCACTGCAGAAAGAAGAGCTTGTCATTCCCAGAATGGAGGCCCAGGGCCAGGTCATGGGCGAGGGGCAGGAAGCTGTCCGAAAGTGGTGGAGGGCTCAGCCTGGGGCTGAATTCATGCCTCATGGTGGGAATTAAGGGAGGACAGCCTGCCCCACCCCCTGGAGTCTGGCCACCCAGGCCTGTCTTCCGGTGAGGCTACGTGAATGCTGATGGGCGGGGCGTTTTGGGGTTGTTTTGGGGTCACGGTCCTGACCACTGTGAGGCTCAGGGGACTGTGCCCAGGGACCCAGCAGAAGTCGGCCACATGCAAGGCGAATGCCTTACCCCCTGGGCTGTGTCTCCCGTGGCAGGAGGGAACAGCTTGTGCCCGGGGGGGGGGGGGGGGGGGTGCAGGAAGCTCCCCTGGGTCTTACTGAATGCGAATATGCTCTATTAGGGGGCAGAAAAGCCGAAAAAAGGCCAGCACCGGGCAGGGGTGCAGGAAAGGGCTGCAAGAGCTCACACGCACCGTGGCTGGGAGGCAATGGACAGATTGCTCGGCCAGTAATCGCTCGGTGAACTGCACATCGTTGGCGAATTCAGGGAAATTTTCCATCTCAATTCCGACCTATGGGGCAGCAGGCAGGAGGGGACTGATGAGAAGGACAGCGAACAGGAGACAGTCTGCACCAGGGGTGACGGCGCAGGCAGCATCGGAGGATCCCCGGGACTTTGCAGCTGGAAACTAAGGGAAGTGGCTCTTAGGCGCCCGGGGATGTATCCCGGGGCATGGCGGGCCGAGCTCCGCCGCTATTTCAGTTTATCAGAGGGTTTCATGCTGGAAGCCGACAAATGAAATGTCAGAGACCTGGGGATATGTGTGGGATTATGTGTGAGTGTGTGTTGATTGGGAGAGGGGGGTTCAGATGTTACTCCCAGCTCAGTATTCAGGGGTTGCTCCCAAGAGTGCTTGGGGCTCTTGGGGCTCCAACTGGGACCCCTGCATACAAAGCATGCCCCTGACCCCTTGGAGCGATCTCTCTGGCCCCTGGGCTTGATTTTTGTTTGGTTGGTTGGTTTGGGGAGCACATTGAGCAGCAGATTACTCCTGGTTCTGCATCCTGGATCACTCCTGATAGTGCTTCAGGACTATATGGGGTGCCAGGAATCAAACCCAGGTCAGTTATATGTAAGGAAAATGCCCCGCCTGCTGTACTATCACTTCAACCCCTAAGGTTTGGTTTTGTTTTGTTTTAAAGGTGTTATCAGCTGGGGAATTCTTCATTGCATAGAAACATACAATCCTTGCAAGAAATTTGCTATGCTTTACCTACAAAATGCCAGTGGGAACCTGCCATCATTCTGAAAACAAGCAGTATCCCCAAACACTCCCCTCAAAAGCCCAAGGAAGCCAGGCTCCATCGCCGGTGGCCCCTGTACTAGGGAGCTGAGCACACACAGTTCTTTGAACACTGAGGTGAAATCCCACCCACAGGTCTATTCAGAACAGAGAAATTCCTAAACTGGCTCAGAAATCTCGCAGGCTGCCACAGTGCCAAGGGACTCCCTCTAGCCCCCAACCACGGGCCGACTCCTACTTACCATCAGGTACATGGCCCCAGAGGGGCGCACGGGTTGGAGGCCTGGGATGGCAGCCAATGCCCCGTAGCAGAGGTCAGCGTTGGACTGCGGAGAAAGATGGGGTGGGAGTGAAAGGGGCGCCGGTCGGGAAGGTGGGGGACTGGGCCACGTCTCGAGGGCTCCCCTGGCATGAGCAGCAACACAGAAAATTGTGCTGGCACCCCGAGCTTTCTCCCTGAGTGACAGAAGGGTCCTCAAAACTGAGAGGGACTGAGTTTGGATGCGGGCTCAGAGGCCACCTCTGGATTTGGGAGCCTCCTCTCGAACCCTTGTCCAGCAAGAAGAGTAAACAAAACCAAAGCATGTGTGTGTTGGGGGGGGAGAGTGTTTGTGGGGGGGAGAAGGGAAGGTAGGTGTGTATGTGTGTGTGTGTGTTGGAGGAGGGAGGGTATGTATGTGTGTGTATATGTATGTGTTGGGGGAGGGAAGGTGTGTGTGTTCGGGAAGGAAGATGTATATGTGTGTGTATATGTGTGTGTTGGGGAAGGGAGGGAGGGTGTATATGTGTGTGTGTTGGGGAGGAAGGGTGGTGTGTGTTGGGGCGAGGGAAGATGAGTATGTGTGTTGGGGGAGCAAAGTTGTGTGTGTGTGTGTGTGTGTGTGTTGAGGGAAGGAAGGTGTGTGTATATTGGGGAGGGAGGGTGTGTGTGTGTGTGTGTGTTGGGGGAGAGAAGGGGTGTGTGTGTGTGTGTGTGTGTGTGTGTGTGTGTGTGTGTGTGTGTTGAGTGGGGAGAGAGAAGCCAGAGGTAAAGTGCTTGCCTTGCACACACCCGACTGTATTTGATCCCCGCACCCCATATGATCCCCCAAACCTGCCAGGAGTAACCCTGGTGTGGCCCCCAAACCCAGACGGCAAAAAGCCCCTGGCCCCCCTCTTGGCACTCTGGCCCTCTCTGACACTTGGGGACCCGGCAGCCCCGACCCACCTTGAGGAAGCCAAGGATGTCCTTGTAGAAGTCAGCAGGTGTGCGGCGAAGGATGCTCTTGAGGGCACCCTGGACGATGGTGCAGGGCCCCAGGATGCGCTGGCTCAGCTTGACCAGCCCGTCCCGGATCTGCAAGCCACCAACGGACTCGTGAGGGGCCTCTCACTCCTCTCTGAGCACTTTTTTCTATATATAGCTTTTATTTTCATTTATTGGAGGGGGGTGGGGGGTAGCAGTGCTCAGGAGGCCTGGGGGCCCAACCAGTGAATCTTGTCCAACCTGGTGAAAGTGCCATGTGAGGGCCTAAGGGTGCGATGCTGTGCCCCGCCCCCCCCCCCCCCCCCCCCACACACACAGTGCTGGAGCCTCCCGGGACAGACGCCGGGTGAGCTGCACCCTAAGGCTCCTGAACTGCTGTGCTCCCTGATGGCCCTCTCAGCTTGTTCATCCCTGGGGATGGGATGATGCCACATGACTCGCTCAGATCACACACCTGCGTGTCCCCTCGCGTGACGGCGCATGCCCGCTGTGTGGCTCTGGGCAAACCCACCCACTTTCCTGGGCCTCATTTGCCTCAGCTGCAGAACGAAGTTGCTCTGAACGCTGGGCTCAGATAGGCATTGCAAGACATCGATGGATGTTGTGACTATCAAGGGCTGGGGGGCCGCTGCTCCGAGGATCCTCCTCCCGCAGCCCACATGGGCCTACTCAAGGGGCAGCAGTTTCTTCACGAGCCAGATTCCAGGAAACGGACTCTGAGGGGGATGGACTCGGGGGACCCTCCTTACTCTATAGGCCGAGGACCCTGCAGGGAGAGGAAGTGCCCAGCTGTGGGCATGGGACGGCTCTCACCTCGTTGCCAAAGATGCCTCTTCGGTCGTGGATGAGGATCCAGCCGAGCCTCCAGCCGGGGACCAGCCAGCGCTTGGCCAGCCCCCCGCACGACAGGATGGGCACGTTGCTGCTAAGACGGGCCAGCGGCTCGAACTTGGGGCCCGAAAACACCTGAGAAGAAATGTTTGCTGCAAGGGTCTCCTGCATCCTCCAACCTGACAGGACCCCAAAGCTGGAGGGAGACCCCAAGAGGTTCTGAGTGGAGCAGACAGAGCTATGGCATCTGCTTCGGGTCTGGGCCAAAGAAAACCTCAAGTGAGGACACGAAGCCCCATCCTGGTGTAGGATCAACCCCGGGAGGGGGGGGGGAGCGGTGGGCACCGCTAGAGAGTGAATCGCTGGCCTAAACGTGAAATTGGGCCTTAGGGGCCAGAGTGATAATACGGTGGGGAGGGCATTTGCCTTGTTGGTGGCCAACCTGGGTTCGGTCCCTAGCACCCCATAGGGTCTCCTGGGCATTACCACCAGGAGTAATTCCTGAGTGCAGAGCCAGGAGTAAGCCCTGGCCCCCAGTGGCCCCCAAACAAACAAATGAACAAAAAAGAAGAAGAGGAAGAAGGAGGGGGAGGAGGAGGAGGAGGAGGAGGAGGAGGAGGAGGAACAAGAAAAACAAGAACAGGAAGAAAAATTTCAAGGGCCCAAACTCTCCCTTATCGTGTGACACCCCCAAGGGAATCTGGCATGGCACTGCTTATGGGGCACTGCTTATGTTAGCGGGTCAATGCCCCCAACACAGACACACAGACACACACACACACACACACACACACACACACACACACACCAATCTAATACCTAAGTGAGAGCAGATTCCCCCAAAATACCTTTCCGTCAGGTCAAGTCAGGATTTTCCACCGAGTGGACCCCAATAATGTTTAACCCTTATAGCCCTGGGAGTCTGGGGAAACAGGAACCCTGCCCCTGTGGGACATGCAGGGAGACTGATCTGCTGGACTCAAGGGCTCCGGCGCCGCAGCCGGCCATGCACAGTGGGTCCATGGGGAAGTTCCCATGAGATGTGTGGGAACCAAGAGAACGCGACTGATTCCGTGCGCTGCTTACCATGTCTCCGTAGATCTCATCAGCTAAGATGGGGACACACTGCCTGGCAGCCACTGTGGAAAGAATAAAGCCCCGAGTCATTTCTAACCGGCACTTCCACATTTGCATAACTTGTCTTCCTCCTCAACCAAGACCAGCTCTGCCCCTCTTCCTGGGGAAGGCACTGATCTGTCCAGTGTCTCAGCTGTGTTAGATCTCGGCGTCCCTGTCACAGATGAGGCTGAAGGTCAGGAACTGCCTTTTTCTCTGCCTCTCAGGCCAGTCCTTACACTCTGGGGCTCAAAACTCACTAGGTCTCCAACCTGAACCCCCCCAACGCTTTCCTAGGCTTGGGATTTAGCAAAGGGCCCTTCGCTCCTTCCAGGAAATCGCGAGAGGATTCTATTCCCGTCTCCTCGCTTGTTTCCATCTCTTGCTGGACTTACCCTCCAGAATGTCCTGGAGATGGTTTTTACTGAACACTGAGCCACAAGGGTTTGATGGGTTATTGATCACAAGACACGCTGTGTCGTCATCAATCAGAGACTCCAGTTCTTTCAGGTCAATCTCCCAAGACTTGTTGGGCTGGGGAGGAAGAAAGGAGGGACACTAAGGTAATTCTGAAAAATTTAGGTGTGATCAATAAAAATCAGTGTGCCTGTGGCCTAAACTTTCCCTCTCCACTTTCAGATCTTTCTCTGCTAGGATGGTGGAAGATGTATATTTTCACAGGGCCGGAGAGATAGTACATCAGGTAAGGCACTTTCTTTGCGTGCGGCTGACCCGGGTTGGATCCCCAGCATCCCAAAGGGTCCCCTGAGTTCCATCAGGAGTAATTTCTAAGCACAGAGCCAGGAGTATCACCTGAGCACAGAACCAGGAGCCACCCCTAGCATCACTGGGAAATGCAGGGAGTATTAACAAATACATCCTGGTTGTATTTGTTAGCTCCAAATACAATCAAAAACAAAGATGTGGGGCTGGAGCAGTAGCACAGCGGGTAGGGTGTTTGCCTTGCACGCAGCTGACCTAGGTTCGATTCCCAGCATCCCATATGGTCCCCCGAAGCACCGCCAGGAGTAATTCCTGAGTGCATGAACCAGGAGTAACTCCTGTGCATCACATGACCCAAAAAGAAAAAAAAAAGACGTATGTTTTTATACAATCTGCTAAGATGTATAGTTTTACACCATCCTACTCAAGCACCTGGATTCAAAATTAAAGTCACTTACCAATAAGTTATAGAGCTTGATCTCAATTCCCATAGATTCAGCCAAGGTCCTGTAGAGCGAGAAGCCGGGTTTCGGAACAAGGATGTTTTGGCCTGGGTTGGCCAGCACAGTCAAACAAAGTTCAATGGCCTGGCTGCAGCCGCTCGTTAGAATGACATCCTGTGAAGGGAAGCCAAAGTCCTGGGTCACGGGCACCAAGGCAACTACAGAACGTGCTGGAGTGATGGTGAGTCAGGAGCAGGGTGAACGCTGATGGGTTGTGAGCGAGAGGTGAGAGGACAGGTCGAAGCCCAGATGGAAAGAAATAAATAGGCCCAACACAACACAAAAACGTGGTCCACTTACAAGAAACAAATTACTGTTATAAGGACCAGTTGTCTTTTGATTCTGCAGATGTGCGTGAGAAACAATTACAACCTTGCATTTTTGGTGGGGAGGGGAGGGCGGTGTTGATTATTGACTTCTGACTAGGATCAAAAGGCCTGACTCGTCTCTGAAATCCAGGCACAGCACCCCAGGGTGCTGAGAAGCGTCCTCCTGCCCAGCAGCCAATGGAGGGGAGGCTCTGCTGTCCTGTGGCAACCACTGCTCGTGTCCCAGCACCCCTGTCTTCCCATTGGATGATCTTACAGCGACACAAAAAAGCTACTTTTCTTTCTTTTTAATCCAATGCTAAAGAATCTTAAGTATTTGTTGCTTGTGCATGACTGTTTTTGAATGATCATTCACAGAGAACCAGACTTCTGGGTGACTTCTGGGTCCCTTGTGATAGGTAAGGTAGACACAACGGGTGGTAATGACACTGAACGTCATCGCTAATGGCAGCCTATGTACAGAAGGTCCTCAGAGGTTACAGAGATGTGACTGTCGCTTCTATCACCCACCCCCCATCCTCCCCACAGACACACCCCAACCCTCATTAAAACTCTTTCCTCAGTGTGAAGGAAATAAGGGAAAGATAGAGGTGAGCCCCTGTACTGCTCAGCACTGGCCCTGGGGCTCACCTTGGCTTCCAGGGGCGCCTCAGGACAGTGGTAATACGACGCGACCTCCTCCCGGCTGGACAGGTACCCTGAAGGAAAGAAGCACAGGAAAAGCTGGAAGCTTCATCAACAGTCAGACTCTGGGCTCCCCAGGACTTTAGGGCCCCCTTGTCCCCACCCAGAGCACAAATGCTCAGTCGAATTTGCAGCCACTGTTGGAAAAGATCAGTTCACTCTTTCACAATTTTATAGCAGGCTCAAGAAGGACTCTCCAAACTACAAACTACTCGGCGCCATCCTGTCGGTTTCTGTGACTACAGAAGGTTTCATTCTCCTTTCAGCGCAGGACTTAGTTCCTAAACTTCTCCCAGAAGTTGTATTGGGTGGGCAGGATGGGGGCTTGGGCTTCCTCCTGGCTTCGGACTCAGGGATCACAGCTGGTGGTGCTCAGGGGACTGTATGCGGTGCTGAGAATTGAAGCAGGGTCCCGCCCCCAGCAAGTCAAAAGCTTAGCCCTTGTACAACCTCTCTGGCCACTTTGTAGCTATCTGGTAACGACGGGGACTGCAGGAAATGCAGGACTGTTCCTCAGGTCAGGGACAACAGTGCTCAAGACTCAGGTGCACAGCAGGGTGGAGACTTAGCCACCCACAGGGGCCGTAGACTTGGAGTCATGTGACAAAGTTTATTAGGAAAGGCAAGGGTTAAATAGAAGCTGAGGGAATGCGCCTTGGTGCCCTGAAAAGCAGGTGGCTGAGGGAGGCAGATGTTGTTCTGAGGAGGACAGAGCTGCCAGAGTGCTGTCCTTAAACTCTAGGGCAGAGGCAAGGTTGGAGTAATGCTCTAGACCAAGCCATCTCAGCCTCTGGCAATCAAGGCCAATTAAGTTGCTTAATCTGTTGCCCCAGGCAAAAGCCCAGCCAGAGAAGTCACTCCCTGCCATGCCTGATGGAATAGTAAATACTCCCTGATGCATGTACTTTATTTATTTATTTATGCTTTTTGGGTCACCCCCTGCGGTGCACAGGCGTTACTCCTGACTGCACTCAGAAATTGCTCCTGGTGGTGCTCAGGGGACTATATAGGATGCTGGGAGTTGAACCCAGGTCTGCAGCGTGCAAGGCAAATTCCTACCCTCTGTATCACCACTCCACCCCCGGTGCAATTAGTGCAAAAAGCTGTAATTAGTGGATTTAATACACTGGGTCCACTTAAGCTTTCTTGGTATTCCAAATCTAAACCAAATAGCACAGCGGGTAGGGCGTTCGCCTTACAAGCGGCCAACATGGCCGACCCGAGTTCGATTCCTCCGCCCCTCTCGGAGAGCCCGGCAAGCTACCGAGAGTATTCGATATGCCAGACACAGTAACAACAAAGTCTCTAATGGAGACGTTACTGGGCCCGCTCGAGCAAATCGACAATCAACGGGAGGGCCTTTACCTTTTACCTTTTAATCTAAACCAAATTGCTAACCAAATCTAAACCAAATCTAAACCATGATTTTACCAAATTGCCCTCCAAGTAGATTGTTTTCAGTTAGCAAGGCCAGAGGCAAACTTCATCATGTTGAATTTAATAAAGGTAGAGATGAGTCTTAAATATACAATGACACTTCCTTGTAATAAGAAGGGAGAACATTTTACTAAGCCATGATTGTGTTTGCTCTGGCATCGAGTGTTCATCTCCTCCATAGCATTGTTGAATGAAACTGCATTTTGGTTTTTCAGGTTGAATTGGTTTCCTAGTGCTCTGCATATAGGTCAGTGTTTGATAGCTAAAATAGTCTCATTCGGTTTTGAATTTTTGTCGCATGAAATAGAAATAATCAACCTTTAAATCATGCCCCTGAGATCTCTTGGATATGTTTTTTGAAATTCCATTTTAAGATCTGGGGAGACAGCGCAAGGGCGGAAGTGTAGAAGTCTGGGTTCGATCCCCAGTGCCCCATGGATCCCTGAGTTCTACTTGCAGCGACCCCCAAATGCCTCACCAAGAACAGCCCCAAGCAAGCAGAGGAACAAAATCTGTCTTATCCCAACAGTGGAGATCCTGTAGTTCTTTGTTAAGCACACGCGCCCAGGAATGTTTGGAGAGAACCGCCCTGCTGAGAGAAGGGCGAAGACGCACTTCCCTGACCGAAATGTTGAAAAAGTTGAATAGAGGGACTGGAGACATAGTACAGCAGGTAAGGCCTTGCACTTGGCTGACCTGGGTTTGGGTCCTGGCACCCTATATAGTTCCCCAAGTCCCACCAAGAGAGGCCCCAAAACAAACAATAAAACCAAAACCAACAATTTCTTCCAACAGAAACCACTCCTTTCAGGATATTCGCCCCAAACCCATCTGACAAGGGGTTGATATCAAGGATATACAAAGTACTGGTTGAACTCCACAAGAAGAAAACATCCAACCCCATCAAAAAATGGGGCGATGAAATGAACAGAAACTTTCTCAAAGAAGAAATCGAATGGCAAAAAGGTACATGAGAAAATGCTCTACATCATTGATCATCAGGGAGATGCATATTAAAACAACAATGAGCTATCATCTCACACCACAGAGATTGTTCCACATCCAAAAGAACAAAAGCAACCAGTGTTGGTGCATATGTGGTGAGAAAGGGACCCTCCTTCACTGCTGGTGGGAATGCCGACTGGTTCAGCCCTTTTGGAAAATAGTATGGATGATTCTCAAAAAATTAGAAATTGAGCTTCCATTTGACCCAGCAACACCACTCCTGGGAATATATCCCAGAGAGGCAAAAAAGTATAGTTGAAGTGACGTCTGCACTTGTTTGTTCATTGCAGCACTGTTTACAATAGCCAGAATCTGGAAAAAACCTGAGTGCCCAAGAACAGATGACTGGTTAAAGAAACTTTGGTACATCTACACAATGGAGTACTATGTAGCTATTAGAAAAGATGTCACTGTCACTGTCCTCCCGTTGTTCATCGATTTGCTCGAGCGGGCCCAGTAACATTGTGAGACTTGTTTCTGTGTTTGGCATATCGAATACATCACAAGAAAAGATGAAATCATGAAATTTACATACAAGTGTTACTACCTGGAAAGTATCATGCTAAGTGAAATGAGTCAGAAAGAGAGCGACAGACATAGGGAAATTGCATTCACCTAGGGAGCATAAAGTAACAAAATAGAAGACTAACACCCAAGAATAGCCAAGATAAGTACCAGGAGGTTTACTCCATGACTTGGAGGCCAGATGCAAATGCTAGGGGAAATGGCAGCTCAGACAGAGAAGGGAGCACCAAATAAAGGGTATTGGGAGGATCCTCCCAGAATGGGAGATGCATACTGAAAGTAGACTATAGACCGAACATAATTGCCACTCAATGCCTCTTTTGCAAACCACAACACCCAAAAGGAGAGAGAGAACAAAAGGGAATGCCCTGCCACAGAGGCGGGGTGGGATGGGGGGATGGGGGGTGGGAGGGATACTGGGATCATTGGTGGTGGAGAATGAGCACTGGTGGAGGGATGGGTACTCAATCATTGTATAACTGAAACCCAAGCACAAAAATTTGTAAGTCCACAACTGTACCTCATGGTGTTTCACTAAAAAAAAAAAAGAAAGAAAGAAAGAAAGAAAGAAAGAAAGAAAAGAAAACACTCCTTTCAGAGACGCGTTCTTATTGTTCCGGGTCACCTTTTTGATCTTTCTAATCTGAAACAATTACACTCACTGGGAATGTGATCAGAATTATAATAAAAATCAATCTTTAACATGTAGAAGGGGTGGGAAAAAACCCAAAATGAGGGGCTATTTCCATTTATACAGGTGATAATTCAATGCATCCAACACCCCACCCAGTGGACTATCTTTCTGGCCCCTAGATTTTGGTTTGGTCTTGGATTTGTTTTTTGTTTGTTTGTTTGTTTGTTTGGGGACCATACCTAGTAGTGCTCAGGGCTTGTTTCTAGATCTGTGGGAAGAACCACATAGGATGCTGCGTGCAAAGCAAACATCCTACCCACTGGACTATGGCTCCAGCCAGCCCCTAGATTTTGAAGTCTTAAGTGCCCTGAGACAGATCTCCTAAAACCCAAATGATCATCCTAGCTTAGCCTCTCCCTAGGACTGGTGTGTCTGCAAACCAGCAGAATTGCTAGAAATTTCTTCCTTTTGGAAGAGCGCTCCCACTTACCGATGGAGGGGGCATAGCCGTTGTATTTGCCCGAGTCCAGGGCATCCTTCATGGCTTGAATGACTTCAGGGTCTGTGGGCAGGTTTCCAAACACAGTGGGGTCCCCTTTACATGGGAAAAAAAAGGCGAATCACCAAGGGATGACGCTGAGGAACCCAACACTCAGACTCGCCTTCCATGCTTACCTTCTTGAGGCCGTGCCAAAAGATTTTGGGGGGGGGGGGGAGAGAGGAAGGACCATCCCATGGAGCCCCCAACTCACCGATGGACAGAGAGATTGTGGTTTTGTTTGGGTTTGGCTTGACCTTCATGGTATCCACGATGGCCCGGATGGGGTTGAAAGTCTTGTTGGCCATCTCTGAGGGTTTCACGGCCCACCTGGCCTTCCTGCCCTTGGCTTTCCCCAGCATGGAGCTTCTCCCACCCGTGTTGCCGTCCAGGACAGAGGGGACATTGTTCTTGCTATTCATCTGGATCATGTAAGGGTCCATCCTGAGCCTGTGGAAACAAGCAGAAGTTCCCCTAAGAACAGAGCAACACCCTCCAGAACTAAGGAGGGACCCGGGGAGTTGGCTCATTTCCTGGAAATCTCTTCCCAAACTCCTTCATTCCCTGCTTGAAGAAGGTGAGTGTGGGCCTGATGGGAGGCAGAGCCGAGCTCGTTCTCCCACAGCTCGTTCTCCCTCAACAAACATTCATCCATGTATGTTGAGGCCCCATGGATTTTGCTACCTCTGGACCTTGGTGTTCCTGGTCACAGTTCAAGCTCACTCATGGGCACAGTAACACCCAGAGGAGAAGACAAAAGGCTTCAGAACATCAGAGCTTTTGTGTTTCTGCCATGCTGAGAGCCCCCGCCATGTCCTGCTCCCAGCAGAGACGTAGGCCCACGTGGCTGGGTGCAGACCGCCAGGAGCACGTTAGTAGGTTAGTAACAGTACTAGTTAGTGTCACTGACTATAACCAAGGATCTAATTAGTACTAAGTGTAAGGGATGCTGTTGGGAAGAGTAAACATCAACAAGCTCCTAGAAGCTTGTTGGTGCCCGGTGGGGAAAAAGTAAATTCACTGGAAATGTCAGGTCAGTGGAAAAGCAAACAGCCCGGGGCTCGGGATTTTACCTTTGAGCAAAGGAGAAGAGGCTGCGCTGGGTGCCGCTCGGCTGGGACAGTGACAGTAGCCCAGGCCCCTGCAGCTCCTGAAATAGCCTCTGCTGATGGGCGTTGGGCCTGAGCTGTCCATGCCATTGGCCCAGGGCGCGACCAGGTCCTCCTCCCCGCCTCCACTCACACCCTCCCGCCTCCCCCACGTCAGAAATTTGTCCACACTTCAAACATCTGGAGTTCTCTGTTAACTCTTTGAGAGGCTTTTCTGAGGGGCCAGGGTAGGGGTGGGGGTAGGGAGGTCACAGTGGATAACTTTCACTGTGTTCTTTTTTTTTTTTTAGTTCAAAATAAGTCTATTCAAATTTTTAACAGACAGAGGGAGTCAGTGTGAAGAAGAGGGGTCCTCTTGCCTCCTTGCTCGCTACAGGCCCCAGGTCGCCAATTCTACACAGTCCCCAGATAGGCAGGGACATAGTGGATAGGTAAATACACAAACACACACACGCATTCATACATACAAGATACATACAAAGAACAAGCCTACATTAGACATAGAAGATAGGTATCTTCTATGCAGACATACACACATACATAGGCAAATTAGTATACCGAAGTTACACAAATGTACATACATGTATTTATATGTAGTAGCTATATACCTATACATCCATTCACAGATATATGCATGCACACATATAATGCAGTCATACATAGAACATAGGTATAACAATGTACACATATATGCAACATGGACATATATGCAACATGGACATATATGTGTAATACATTCATACATAGAAAATAGGCATGGACATACACAATATATTAATACACAGATGATAAACACAGGAATACAAGTATAGATATATATATAAAATAAATACAAGCATACACATACAAACACACATATACATATCATTATACATAAGAGATACATGCATACACACACACACGAACACACATTCCTGCATAGGTAATAGAGAGATGCACAAACTTACAGTTTCTTTTTCATATTTTTAAAAATCTTATTAAAACACCATGACTTACAAAATTACTCACAGTTGAGTTTTAGATATGGAATGTTCCAGCACCGATCCCCCCACCAGAGATAATTTCCCTCCACAGTGTCCTCGGGGTGCCTCCCCCAATACGCCCCAGCCTGCCACCTTGACAGGCCAATTTTTAAGTTTGGTTGTTGAAGTTTGAACTTCATGTGTGGAGTGTGTGGGCTGTGTGGTTTGGATATTTAGCTGTACTCCTTGACACCACCCATATCTCTGAGTCCTTGATTTCCTGCCCATCCCTTCATCTCCCTCAACTTCTTTCCTTCTCTGTCCTTCTCTCTGTACTCTGGGGACAAGAGTGATCATGGCTTTCCCCTTTCACTGCATTCCTTGTCAGATCATCCTGTTTGTCTTTCTCCTGGCAAACGCGTGGGTTCCTGCCCTATAACTTCTTTGAAACACCTTTATTTCCTTCCTATATCCTGGGACTTTTTCTCCATCAGTCCACCAAGTCCTACTTCCTTGGGAACAAACTGGACAGCTGAAGAATATTCAGGACCACCCAACAAATATCTTCCAAACTCAGGGGGCTCATCAAGGCAACCAAAAACAACCTCGTGGGGTTCTTTATATTGGCCGGCCTTGGAACAATGGGGAGAAAAGGAGTTGAGGTGAGATCGAAACCATTTTGTGAAGCAGGCATGCCGAGATCTTAATGTTCCTGGGCACCTCTGCAGACACCCCACTCTGGGCTGAGGGGTGGCTCACCGGGTCAAGTGTCGTATTTGCAAGTTGAAGGTTCAGGCTCAAGCATTGACATCCCCTTGAGCGACTCTGAAGCACTGAGCCCTAATAGCCCCTGAACTCTGCCTGGTGTGGTCTCCAAAACAAAAAAGAAACAAAATAAAACAAAACAAATAAGATTTCATCACTCAAGAGCTAAGAGAAGCTGGCAAGGGTTAAGGGCTCAGGTCTTCTGAGCATTGATCAGTAGAGAGTTATTGCACAAGTTCTTTCTTCCATCTGCTTTTCAGTGATTCCGTAATTGTAGTTGCCAGTGGGCTAACCCTTTCCTCCTTCTGCAGCCACATCTCGGAGCTTGAGAGGGCCTGGCTGGGGCTTCTCTCTCCCACTCCTGGGATGCTGTGTGTTGCCAGCTCGTCTCACCAGTGGAGCTGGCAGAGCATTGTGCCGGGGCAGGGAGAATTGAAATTCTGATGCTGGAACTCTCTCTCTTTTTTTTTTCTTTAGTGGAACACCATGAGGTACAGTTGTAGACTTACAAACTTTCGTGCTTGGGTTTCAGTTATACAATGATCGAGTACCCATCCCTCCACCTGTGCCCATTCTCCACTACCAATGATCCTAGTAGCCCTCCCCCCCCACACACACACACCCCATCCTCCCCTCCCCAATCCGCCTCTGTGGCAGAGAATTCCCTTTTGCTCACTCTTTCCTTCAGGGTCTTGTAGTTTGCAAGAGAGGTATTGAGTGGCCATCGTGTTCAGTCTATAGTCTACTTTCAGCATGCATCTCGTGATGCTGGAACTCTTGATTTGAATTCTTGAGCTCAGGACCGCTCAGTTTCAAAAGGTGGGGACACACAGAGCCACGGCACCTGCAAGGAAATGCTTTGAGTCACTCTTCCTTTCGGAAGCCAGCAGATGACCACTAGGGCCTGTGCGTTTCACAGGCAAGACTCTGTCATGGACTGCTGAGCGTGCTAGATGCAGCACCCTGGAGCAGCAGCCTGTGGAGTGAGAGCCGGTTATTATTCTAAAGAACAGATTTTTGCCAGTGCCCAAGAGCATTCTCTTCTAAAAGCTTTCCTGTTACCAGGCTGTGTTTAAAACAAAATCCCTGCATGCAAGAGAAACCTCACCAATGAAGCATCTTCCTACCTCTCCTAAGGGCCTTCTTTTTCTCCCACACATTGGACCTTGGTCTAGATACTTTTGGGGGGGGGGGTTAAGATAAAATTCACATAAAAACACATAAACACATCCATGTTCTCACCATTTGAAGGAAGAAACTTCTATGAGCTTAATATATTCTTTTGTTTTGCTTTGCTTTTTGGGTCACACACAGTGATGCATGGGGGTTACTCCTGGTTCATGCACTCAGGAATTACTCCTGGCAGTGCTCAGGGGACCATATGGGATGCTGGGAATTAAACTTGGGTCGACCGCATGCAAGGCAATTGCCCTATCCACTGTGCTATTGCTCCAGTCCTGAGCTTAGTATATTCTTAACACACTGAAAACATCACCATCCTCTCATCTCAAACCCCTCTCATTCTCCAGACAGAAGCTCAATCTCCATGAAGGAGACATCGCTCATTCCCACCTTCCCAGACCCTGGCAGCTAATCAGCAATTTTCTTGCTCGATGGCTTTGCCATCTTCCTGGATTTTGATGTCAATGGAATGATGCAGGCTGTGACCTTCTGAGTCTGAGACACATCTTTCATTTCACAAACCTAAGGTTGTGTAAGAAGCTCCCCGTGCTATGGTTAGTAAAGGCACTTTGTTCCCTTGAAGGACAGAATCCTCCCTCATGGGTACTTGGGTTGATGGACCCTGGGGCTGTCGCTGTCACAGCTTCTGTCCCTCTGCTACTAACATCTGCATCCACGTCTTTGTGGCAATCCAAGTTTTCATTTCTCTAGGAAAGTTTGCACACCGTGAAGCTTTAAATCAGATTGTGACTATTTGTCCGTGTGGACAAAACCTACAGAGAAGAATCAGAACTTAGTGAATCATTTTCCTATTGTTGGGACACAGTGAAGCTGAGTTTTCAGTATTATTCCTTCCTGGTGCCAGGTATTGAAGCCAGGGTCACATACAGGCAATGCCTGGCATCTGTGCTGAGCTGCATCCCTGCCCTGGAATCGAGTTTTTGGTCACTGCAAACAGTTCTGCTTCAAACAACCTCATCCCCAAAGATATGAAGCGCTGATTCCTCTATTGTAATATTTCCTGAAGACACATTTTGCTGTACTTTGACTCGCTGTAAGGTAAAGGTAAAGGCCCTCCCGTTGATCGTCGATTTGCTCGAGCGGGCCCAGTAACGTCTCCATTGGAGACTTTGTTGTTACTGTGTCTGGCATATCGAATACTCTCGGTAGCTTGCCGGGCTCTCCGAGAGGGGCGGAGGAATCGAACTCGGGTCGGCCATGTTGGCCGCTTGTAAGGCGAACGCCCTACCACTGTGCTATCGCTCCAGCCCTTGACTCGCTGTATTGAAAAGAATTAACTTTTGTTTGTTTGTTTCTGCATTGTTTGGGGGCTACACCTGGTAGTGCTCAGGGCTTAATTCTGGCTCTGTCCTCTGGATTTTGACTCTGTCCTCAGGGTCACTCCTAGCAGGCTCAGGGGTCATATGTGGTGCTGGAGACAAAACCAGGGTCAGCTGTGTGCAAAGCAAATGCTCTCCCCACTGTACCATTGTACTGGTTCCTAAAGATTTTCTTTTACTCTTAAATTTAAGAATGAAAGAACAATAGAATATCAACTTAATGCCTTACATGTGTGATACCCTGAGTTCAGTCCTTGATACCACACACACACAAATCTACTTTCACAACCCAAATACCCAACTGTGGATGAATGGATCTAGAAGTTGTGGTGTACACACACAATGAAACACTACATAGCTCTAAACAAGCAATCTGCAGCAACAGGGATGGGAAATGGGGTGGAGCAAATCCCAGCTATACTCAGAGCCCAAGGTCACTTCCAGTGACAATCCCCATGCAGATGGGCAGTTAGGTGCTGGTATTGGGGTGCAGTGGTGCTTGGGACCACAAAAGTTACACCTTCTTGATTGACACATGGGAAGGAAAGGATGGAACTTTCTGGAAGCTATAAGCTATTGTGACTCATGGTGTGAGCCCCCAGGACTCCAGCCCTAGCTGAGCGTCAGTTTCCTCTCCCCACCCATGTCCCATCTCTTCAGGACATCATAGCAGAGGTGGGGTGGAGATGTCATTATGAGGCAGGCAGGCAGATAGGAGAGGCCCCACGGCAGTGGAATTTCTGAGAAATAGTAAATCTAATAACACTAAAGCTGCAAGAATTAAGGTATAGGCCTGATAAGACCTTCCTGGCCA